ACAAATGTGACATCAAAGTTTATGTACAGCCTAGTCTAATGGGCTTAACCAACTATCTTATGACCATTTACCATGCCAATTGCACAAGGAACGAACGGTTTATTACGTTAATACAGAACAAAATGAATTTACGACAATTGGTACTACACTGGTTACAAAAAATGAAAACATGAAGTTTCATGCTTCCGAAACGCTTTTCTTGATTTAATTTCGTCAGGAACGCTCAAAGCCGAATATTTGAAAGCCAAGGATGTACAAGAACCTAAATATTTGAAGAGCTATATAACCACAAAAGGACCTAAAAAAATAGCAAAATTTATCCAAGGCCAACTTTGCCTGAGTGAGTTGAAATCTTAGTTTCTTTATAATATCAAAATGTATAAATAGACAATTTTAGAAAGGTTTGTTATATATCATGTCAGTACCGAAGTATTGACTACAAAGCTGATGATACCCTCTGGGACTGATACTCCACAAGCAGAGGTATCGCCCCAGTGCTGTAAGAAATGAAAACCTCACGTTGTAAATTTTATGCGTCCGAAGCGTTTTTCTGGATTAACCTTCATCAGGAACTCTCAAAGCCAAATATTTGAAAGCCAAGGATGTACAAGAACCTAAACATTTGGAGATCTATATTACCAAAAAAGGACATAAAAATAGCCAAATTCATCTAGGGCTAACTTTGCCCGAGGGAGTTGAAACCTTAGTTTCTTTAAAATATCAAAATTTTTAAACGAACAATTTTAGTAAATAATTTCAGTACCGAAGTACTGACTACTAAGCTGATGATACCATCATGGACTGAAAGTCAACCATCAGAGGTATCGACCCAGTGCTGTAAAAAATGAAAACAACACGTTATAAATTTCATGCGTTTCTGGATTTACCTTCTTCAGGAACGCTCAAAGCCGAATATTTTAAAGCCAAAGATGTACAAGAACTTATAATAACTGAATATATTGGAATTGTATTCGACTGTCATACAAGTGAGAGGTTTAGCTAGCTATAAAATAAGGTTTAATCCACCATTTTATACATAAGTAAATGCCTGTACCAAGTCAGGAATATGACAGTTGTTTTCGTTTGATGTGTTCGAGCTTTTGATTTTGCCATTTGATAAGGGACTTTCCGCTTTGAATTTTCCTTGGAGTTCCGTATTTTTGATATTTTACTTTTTGAAGAGTTATATAACCAAAAAAACTGACCTACAAATGAATAAATAGTTTCTGTGTTGTGTTCTTTTGTCAGAACGACACTCAGTTGTCTTTCTGTATTTTTATATAATTTGATTATATCTTGGCCATGTTCAGTTATTTACTTTTCTATGCAGTGTTTTGTGTACTATTGTTTGTCTATTGGTCTTTTTTATTTTTTAGCCATGGCTTTGTCAGTTTATTTTCGACTTATGAGTTTGAATGTCCCTTTGGTATCTTTCGGCTCTCTTTTATAATGGTCGCCTGAGTTTGAAAAGGAATTTAGTACGCATTTGGTTTTATTGTTGATATGTTATATTCAAAGGAAAATAGAATTACACTTTAAACCTGCCATTTGACTGAATATTTATAAAAAAAACAAAACAGGGATAATGAAATCACACCTAAGGTAAATACAAAACACAATATGAATACGACTATTTAAATTCATAGTTTAGGCTTTAGTTATATCATAAGAGAGAGAGAGAGAGAGAGAGAGAGAGACAAAAAGAGAGAGAAAAAAATGAGAGAAAGAGAGAGCAATTAATTCGATACATACAATTTTTGAGTGGAAATATTTGATTTACCTGATTTAATAGTCATTTAAAAATTTAATAGACTGAGTGCGTTTTTAATCCGTAAATTCTAATAACAAACCGATTTATATTTTTTATCCAGGGCTATCGAATAACATATATGATGTAACAGCTATATTGTTTGTATTATTGGTGGTTATAGTAGTTGCTCTAGTTAAAGCTGTGTTTGTAGTTGTATTGATCGTTTTAGCAGTTGTTTTAGCTATTACAGTGTTGGCTGCTTTTTTCTGTCTACGACGAAAAGGTATGACATTAAACAAATATAAAGGCATACAATGCATACAACTGTGTGTTTAGCACAACATTTAATCGTGTATGTTGATTCTAACTTTTATACCTTAGATTTTATTATTCCGTTCTTATATTACCAAGATATAAATGTGTGTGAAATACAAAATTTAAATTCATTGATAGATGTTATCGTCAGCATTTTTGTGATTATATCACTTCCGTGGAAATATTTTTCTCGTTTTGTTCACAGATTTCATAGACTTTTACATGATTAGTTAAGTGTATCCAGTGTATCCTTTAAGATTTTCTTAATTGACTGGAACAATTATATTTCATTCTGCAAGTAACATCAAGCTTTCTGTTATTTTATAATATTGTGTTTTGGGAGAGGGGATAAGGGGCAGTACGCACAAGGTTTTTTATTTTCGTAATGATTATTCCTAATTGATGATATGGAATTGAACTTGAGTTTTCTTTACAGCAAACAATGAATCTGGCATTTACAATCCGTATGTATATTTGACTGATAGTTCAATACATTATGTGCTTTTATATTTTTTTACCACATGAAATGCCATGAATTTACCATGCAACATGTTAAACAATGTTAACGAGAAGTGGTACTCACAATGTCACCATATCATAACTAAAATTCACTTGTCAACCAGTCAATGTGTAATACTTACAATCTTTTTTAACAAGATGCTTGTAGTTCACCAATCCTTAGGGGTTTACTATAGAACGCATAACACTTCTACAGGTAGGTCACTGCACAAACCAATTTTTAAATTTCAAGTCCTGGAATCTCCATATCTTCCAGTGCGTCACAATACGTATCACTATGAAGAGAATTTTCTCCTAAATAATGATGTTGAAGACAGTTCAGTTTTGTTAATACACTACTTGGAATTATTTACCCTTTCCAATAAAAATAGTTACAACACCAGCATGTATTCTTACTCCATACTACCTGATAATCCAGGATGCATTATTTATCCAAATCACTGTAATAAACATACACACTGCATTCGGAACTACTAGAGGCACTTTACTTACCGATTGGAATATTTAGAATGAAGTTAACACTTCAATGACCAACAAAACATTAACAGTGATAAATGGCTGCCAATGGTTGTAAGTATCCTACACAACAGCATAATATTGTAGGTCTGACGATACACTGATATATTTTCTTGAGCTTGTTTATGTAGAGTCTTGATCGGAACATTATACTGAAAAATGTGGCGTTAAGGTCACAGCAAGTACATATAGAATTTAGCTTTTTTGTCAAGAAACAGATAGTGCTATAAGCATGGGGAAATAAAGAACATAGTTTTATGTGCAACATGGTATTTGAAGTTTCTAAGCACTATTATTGAAGCATTAAATTTTATCGTTGTATTACGAACATTTAAAATATGGACTCTTAACTCTTACTTCTGAATTTTCATATAACAATAAAATATAAAACATAAAACATGGTAAGAACTCGCTGTTTTAAAAAAATGCAGGATATTCAATAATCACGTAGCAATTTAAAATCCTCATAGTTGTCTATCATATTAGTACACTGGGAATGACAGGTTCAGAAGTTTTATTCTGGATGATTGTCTGAATTAACTACAAATGTACCACCTGCACATCTAAAATTTCAGATACCATAGCGATTGAAATTTTGGTTTATGACGTTTCATTTCATTAACAAATATTTTATGGATATTCCTCAACAGAAAACTTTTAACCTATGAGTTTAAGGTATTGTTTTTCACAATTTTCGTCTTTCGTATTTTCTTTGCTTTATATATGGTATAATTTTTCATCTTAAGCTTCATAACTGAACATTTGATGAATTGTCAGCTAACTCTCTTGAAAATGTGGCCACAAAACGATTATTGAGGTCATTCAAGATCGAGAACGTTTATATGGCACATTTTATCTCAAGGTTATTGCCGTTTGATTAGATTGTAGCTTAAAACTCTCTTGTGTTTTACCAAAAGACAATCTACAATTATTGGTTAACTACAGACCAACAGTTTACTAGTATGCAGAGCTGACCACACAAACTCTTAATGTATTTAGCCGAATTACATACATCTATTAAAATATTTAAAACAAAATAATCTTATATTATGTTACAATAATTAATAAATATTTTTCTATTTTATAGCAGGGAAGAAGAAGTTAGAGAGAATTTCCAAAGTAATGTTCTTAATTCATTCAAGATAATGAACATATGATGACATATTTCAGATTTAAAAACAGTTCTCATTGTTTTAGTCTAGTAGTAAAAGGAGATGTTGGACATTAGTCAACTAGATAGCAACTCAAAGACACAAAAACAAAAGACATCTAAAATAAAATCCATTTACAATATGATACAATATTTAAGTGAATACGCAACAAGTCAAAATCTGATCACTCCAGTTAGAAATGTTATTTGTATATTAAACAGACTTTCAAAGACTAGTCATCAACATCAAACATGTATAGGTAAAAGATATTAGCAACACATGACGATGTTCTTGATTATGGGACAGGTACAAGCACATATAGAAACGTAAACGATCACAAACCTCCATTTTAATTGGTAAAATAACAAGGGATACAATTAAGAACACCAGAAACAACATGTACACAAACAAAACCCGCTTTACTTCATAATATAGGAAATGATCGCATTCACAGTGAGAAAGCTCCATTTACTTATTTTCCTGCTTATATGAAATCAGGATTCAGCAGTCAAGTTTTTTTTTACCTCAGCCATTTTAAATTGGCCCTTTTAAGAAAGGAAAAAAAGCATCTTTGATCTTTTAACTAGTTACACGAAACCGATTTCCCTTTTTTCAATGCAATGATATAATAATGTTTTCAATAACATAAACACTGTCTTGTGTTTGACAATATTTTGCGCTTTTTGTAAAATTTTCACACGTATAATCTTTTCCTATTTTTGCTATAATTTTCTTTTAATTTGCTTTAGTGGAACCAGTTGACAACCAGCTCTATCTTTCATCTGATGACCCGGATTTAGCTCATGTACATAACTTACGTAATCAAAGCGTAACAAATACAAGTTTGCCATCAACTTCTCGTGATAACCAAACTTACCAGATGCAACTTCATAACGAAAATGGAGGTACTTTAATAAGACTGTAGAGATGGTTTCTGTATTTTGAGTTTTTTTTTTTTTTTTGGTTCATATTTGAGAACAGTTATATATAATATTTGAGAGGAATGAATGAACATAAGCTATCACATACAAATTTCCATTACACAACAACTGTGCATGTACATATATATTGTATACTAGTAGTCGTTATTCACAATCATGTCCTCTTTTCCTCGAATTTGACTGTTACACTTATCACCGATTGGGTACTTACATTAGCAACATATTGGTTGCTACAAATGTAGCAGGACCTGCTTACCCTTCCAACGCACATGAGGTTACCTCTTATTTGTTTAAAAAGGGACTTATGTTGATCGTGCGTTATTTCTAAGTATTATTCCTTGTGATTTTAATTGTCAAAGTCTGTATTGTTTATACCGTTCTGACAGTCTTGTATATTCTTTGTCATGATAAACTTGTTTCAAAGCTTCTCAGTCGGTCAAGTTTCAGTAATAGCTGTCTAATTGGCAATCATACCACTTGTTGATTGTGACATTTTGACTGATTGTGGATTCGCATTCGTATATGAATCATACATAGCAAGGAACCCTAACCCTGTTGACGCATCGGTCTCCCTACGTTACAATTCTATAATGTTGTTTTTTACCTTGATTTGTCATCTGAATCGATTGAGGAGATTTTAACGTCGGATACCTACTGTTGTCTATATTTCATCCTATTTCTAAAAGAAACATTAGGACAAAACGAACCTACCCGTTGATGACTTCCGTGACGTTGAACAGACAGCTGAACTAGAGACACAATCATTTTTTTCACATAACTTTTCTCTTTAATTTCTTTAAAGTTTATTTAAAACGGTTATTTGTAGAAACATATGTAAGAATGAAGCACCTTACGCAAGAATATTGATATAAAAGCTTTTATATTAGTTTATAATGCTTTATATATTTCACTTTAGCAATTGTTCGAAGACCATGTACTTAATATATAAACAGGGGCGTGGTATCATCAGTGAATAACCGTCAGGTAACTATTATGACGACTATTTCTATATGTTCAACTCGCTTCAGAAGACAGACTTAACTTACACAACCTATCAACATAATCACTGATGAACTATAGACACATGTCATATATCTAACTTTCTACATGCATGGCCTAGAACATCGATACGTATGAGATTTCTGATATTATGATCATTGTTTGCTCAAGATCGTCAGGAAATAGTCTATAAAATTGAGAATAGAAATGGGGAATGTGTCAAAGAGACAACAACCCGACCAAAGAGCAGAAAACAGCCGAAGGCCACCAATGTGTCTTCAATACAGCGAGAAAATTCCGCACCCGGAGGCGTGCTTCAGTTGGCCCCTGAATATGTATCAAAAATATGTACTAGTTCAGTAATAATGGACGTCATACTAAACTCCGAAATATATAAAAGAAACTAAAATTAAAAATCATACAAGACTATCCAAGGCCAGAGGCTCCTGACTTGGGACAGGCGCAAAAATGCGGCGGGGTTAAACATGTTTTTGGAGATCTCAACCCTCCTCCTATACCTCTAGCCAATGTAGAAAAAACAAACACACAGCAATACGCACATAAACCCAGTTTAAAAGAAGCCCGAGTCCGATGTCAGAATAGGTAACAAAAGAAACTAAACAAAATGTCAATGATACATAAATTAACAAAGGACTACTAACAGTTACTGACATGCCAGCTTCAGACCTCAATTAAACTGATTGCATACTCAGAACGATAAAAATAAAAAAAATTATAAAAGGGACGTTCTACTATTTTTGTTTGTCAGTATTATGGCTTGGAAATTAGAGTTGACTGCGAGAAAAAGATTGTTCGGTAAAAACAGTGCATTTGCTTTACTGTTGTCGAAAATCTTTCCAATCATTTCCCGTTACCTACTTTTTTACACGATTCGGCCGTCCTGTTTTCATTACAATTATTTTTTCATGGACTTATGTTATTCCTTCATTTCAGATTTGTGAAACAAGTCTAAACTATACGGAAATTACATTCAACGAAGCACCGACAATGCATGATGCTGCTATACATGGAACATGTGGAAGTGTTAATAGAACAATTTATTCTGAAATAGATTTAATGGCAGATCCTGTAGCGCCACTTTCTAGCAGCGAAAGTGAATGCGATGACAGCGATGAGAGTGATATCTTATTCCTGCATATGTAAAATATTAATAGTTAATACAGAGAGTAGAGAAAGCAACGTGTCGTACTTTATATATATATATTTATGATTTTAACAATAAATTGAGTAAGTAATGATGTAGTAATTAATAAGTTCATGAGAATTTTCTTATACGCGAGCCTACCTAATGAAGATACATGTATCCGTAGGAATTGTATAATTTGTTGTTATTATGTCATTTAGTCGGCATTCTGCTGATGGATAATCCTCACATGTACAGTAACTATTGCTTTGATATTGGAATGCGTTAAATGATATAATTAGTTAATTTCTGGTTGTTTATGGAAATATTATAAAAATTTGGTTGCTACTGCTTTAGACAAAATTGACCTTCAACGGTGATATTCGTTTTATTGAAGTCAATTTGGTTTGAATTTATCAACCGGATTTTTGTTTTCTGTTGTTTTTTTGTTTAGATTTGTGCAAGTAGATTTTGAAATGCATGCTATAAACACGTGTTGTCATCAAGGAAATAATATACAAAATTTGTAGATAGATACTGTATTAACATGATTTACTAACTTGCGCTAATTCTGAGATGTGAAGGAGAACAGTCTTTTAGTTTGTTTATCAACATAATTTGTAACAGTATGGAATAATTACATTTATATGTATGAATCAACCAGTCTTCACATAGTTCAAGGCTGATCTGTTCTTTCTAAAGCTCTAACATATTGAAATGAATAGTAATAATTGGAGGTATATAGGCAGATGGAGAAAATTAGATTATGACTGTCATGATTAATACTGCATATATACTGTTTACTAAACGAACAATGCCTGTGTCGAAGTTAAAAAAAACTAAAGTTCAAAGTCTTGTTTTAAATGGTGTGACTACAGTATCCTTTTTTTAATAATTACGTGGTCACGTGTGATACTATTATTGACATCTTCCTGCTACTTCTTATATACTCTCTAAGGAAATGAGCTTTTGAATCACCTGTTCTCAAGTTTTACCTATCAATAAATGTACATTATTTACCTCATTTAAAGTATTATTTATCGATCAAGTACATCCGACTGCTGTTCACAATATCATATGTACATAATTAGTCCGTCAGATACCAGTATTTCTAATTTTTTTTTAGATTATATTACATTTGAATTTTACAGGTGGCACTAGATTAAAGTAAATTTCATCTTCTTACGTGATATTCTTAATGAAACAATCAAAACAGTACGATGAAAGACAAAATGATAGAAAATATGAAATATTCTATGGAAAATTTAATACAAATTATTCGTAGATTGTTTTCAAAGCGGTTAGCGCACGCTCTAGATAATACCTCAAAGTTAAAAGTAGTTAACCAACTGAGTTATGTTTGCAAGAACTATCAGTACATTTATTTTTGATAGTACAGAAATATGAGTGTGAAGATTTATATGTTTTACTCTGTTTGATGTTAATTTGTAGTATACATTGCTTTGTTTTTTTACATTTATTTAGCTGTATCATTATTATATAATGCATATTTTATTTACTAATTTTTCAATGTATAGCTTTAAAAAAGTATCCAACTTATATTTGTTTATTAACCGAAACGTTTTATTTATGACATGATACTGGCAGCTATGATAAAGGTATCGCAAACTACATTCGTGTATAAAGAAAGTTTCAAATCGATTGTTTACAATTAGTAAAGTCAAGGTTGTTTTTTAAGGTAGAAGTAACACTATATGAACACAAAATTGTCCTTTTTATACTTTTGCCCGATTATGTTCAGTTCATATTACTTTTTAAAACAATCAAAAAAATGAAAGACTCGTTGCAAACCATATCAAACTGGTTTCGAAGGATTTCAATATCTTCCGCCTCACCTTGTTGTTAAGATAAATACGTATAATCAAATGTTATCGATTTTACGAAACTTGCTATTGGTGAAAACTTGGCCAGATACGTTTGAGACCAAAAGTCTATAAACTATAAATATGAATGTGACAAGCAATCATCCTGGTGTAGCATGGCAGAACTCAAAATTTGATTGTTCTTAAATATGCCACAATAATGCACTAATTTCTTTTTGAAAGGGAGCAGCATAAAAAGGAGATAAAAGCACCGAGTTGCAAGAATGTAATGACAAACTTTTCAAAATATTACTCCATTCGATAAAAAACAGTACATCAGTAATAACAAATAATTAGGGACTTAAAAAGAAAATTTAATGACCGACCGCAAACAACATGACCAAAAATAAAAAAATAAAAAAACAACTGACTTCAAAATCTAAAAGAACAAACCCAATTTAAATCAGTTCAAGGACTCTGGTGATATTTTGATATAAAATATGGACTAAGGACAAAAATATGGATAAAACGAATATAGAAAAGTCGTGGTCATTCTAAATATATATTTCCGTAGCAGTCAAAAAAATTTTGGCCGCGACTCTGAAACATTTGAGACTGTACCATTAGAAACCTTTGGTTCAAAATCTAAAATGAAGGTAGCAACCAACATTCAGAATAATTACATAGTAAATTGAATTCTTTAAAACTTATTTTTATTTTTGAATGCTATTTAAAAAATAAAAAAAACAAAAATACTGAACGCCAAGGAAAACTCAAAACGGAAAGTCCTTTAACAAACGGCAAAATCAAAAGCTCAAGCACATCAAACAAATTGAAAACAACTGCCATATTCTTGACTAGGAACAGGCATTTCCTTATGTAAAATTGGTGGATTAAACCTGGTTTTATAGCTAACTAAACCTCTCGAATAATGTGTTTTATCTACTTAAAGGTGCGCAATATAATCATATAATCATATTAAAAGAAAACAATTATTTGTAAATTTGATGCGACCGAGGCGCCTTTCAGAAATGTTCTTTATCAAGAAGGCTAAATAACTAACTTTGTTGCAGGAGTGAGATATTTAGTTTCTTAAAAATTTCAAATTTTATCTACAGGGAAAAAAAGTGTTTTATAAATCATGTCAATACCAAAGCACTGACTACTGAGCTTATGATGCTATCAAGGACTCACAGTAAACCGGCATTGGTATCAGCACAGTACTAGTAAAAGAATATAACACTTTATAAATCCATGCGTCTTTAGCGCTTTCCTGGATTTGCCTACATCTGTAACGCTTAAAGTCATAATTTAGGAGGCCTGGGGATATATACATAAAGCTAAATGTAAAGAGCTACAAATGTGTATGAGCAAAATGGACCTTAAAAGGCTATTCAACAAAGTTAACTCTGCAAGAAGAAGTTAAGTTTCTTAATATTTTTATTTCATTTATCAACGTCGAACTTTAAAACACATATAAAATTATATGTTAAAAAGCATGTCAATACCGAAGTACTGACTACTAAGCCTCTTATAACTTCGGGGACTGACAGCCTACCAGAAGTAAACATGTGTAACGCCAGGTATGTAGGAAAACGTAGAATGTTAGGAGCTGCATGACCAAAGGGACATAAACTGATTATCCAAACTCACAATAGGTCAAACTTGACTGAGGTAGTTTGTACCTTTAGTTCTTCATAATTTCTTAATTTGTCAACGGGGAATCTGAGGAAAGTGTGTCACAAATTATGTCCATTCCGGAGAACTAATCACTGAACGGATGATACCTTTGGTGACTAAAAGTCCACCAGTGCTTGTTATAGAAAACAAACTCGTTATACTTCCGTGCGTCATAATAATTTTTCTGGAATTATCTTCAGCTGCTGAACGATCAAGGTAAACAAATATGCGACTGTCATATATGTGAGAGGTTTAGCTAGCTACAAAACCAGGTTCAACCACCATTTTCTACATCAGAAAATGCCTGTTCCAAGTCAGGAAAATAACAGTTGTTTTCCATTCGTTTGATGTGTTTGAGCTTTTGGTTTTGCCATTTGATTAGGGAATTTTTCTCGGAGGTATTTTTGTTATTTTACATTTTACACTTTATAGAAAGCCCGGGATGTATGAATACGTAATAATGTAGGATCTACAAGACGGAAGGGACTGGAAATAACAATTTCATTGAAGGGAATCGGTGTCTAAGGCAATTGGAGATTAGTTTCTTAATAATTGTTTGTGTATCAACGGCGAATTTTAGAAAACAAATGTTATAAATCATGGCAATACTGTAGTACTGACTACCGCGGATAAAAAGAAAATTACGTTTTTATAAATTTCCAGCGTTCGGTATATCTCAATGAAAACGCTCGTGCATGTTCACTTAATACGCACTTTATTAACATTGCTGTGCTCCTTACACATGTTACACAAAAAATGCTCCAACAGAGGTATGAGAAAAAACGACTGACATCGACACTACATAAATTTTACAGTCGCCATAATAGATTGTTGAACGATACGATGTGTCAGTGTCTAAACTCAATAGGGAAATGTTTTCGTGGTTTTAAATCTTTAGATACCAATAAAGTTGTCTGGTCTGTAATTTAATCTATTGTGTCCTATTCTCGATTGTGAGATTTTGACCGACTGAAAATTCGCATGGCGAGTGATGCATGTATAGCAGACGACGGTTATCTTGTCAAGGCACACGGTCTCACACTTTTTCCCCTCAGTTCCTGTTTGTTAACTTGATTTATTTCTTCCTAATCGATTTACGAGACGTGAACATCGGTAATTACTGTCTATGAAATTTACCCTCATCAGGAACGCTCAAGGTAAAAAAAAATAAAACTCAGTGAGTCACCACCAATTACAAAAATTCTCTGACCATGTTCTAACATTCAAATACCGTCAGACATATCATTTTATCATATACAGTTTTCGATGATATCCCTTTCAACAAAGTCTACTGTATCGCTATTTCTTCTGGGGACATAGTAAGCTAAGCTTAGGTTTTCTATGTTGTGTTTTGCGTTTTGTTGTTTGTCTTTTGGTCGTTTTCCGGTTTTTTTTTGCCATGGTACTGTATCATTGTAACACCATAGTAAGATCATTGAATATTGTTTTTTATCGGTACCTACATTGATTTTGTTTTCGATAGATTAAGATAAGACTAAATGTGTTTTTTTATTTTATACATTTATGAAAATGCATGGTCCGACATCTGTCGATATACTGTAATTATTTTGTTTTGCATTGCAGAAGCTCATGCTTTTCCATGGTGTTAGTTGTTTTTGATGATATGATGGATTAGCTACTTTCCTTATTTTTTATCGCTGATAATTTTTCCACAATCCTGTTTACTAAAACTTTACAAAGCCTCATCAAGCGAATCTTTTTGGTAATATACTTATATTTCAATGTATATAGGTGATCGTATATATATTGTAGTGTTGCTGTTATTACATTTAAAAATTTGTACATATAATAATAAGATATACACAATTACAAAATTGGACATTGACATAAATGATTGTAATTGACAAAAATGTAATCTGAAAATCATGAAAAGTCCAAAAAATCACAACCCTATTTCGTGTTAACTCAATTAGATCACCGCCAAATTACACATGTGACAGTTCTTCCATGATTATATTTGCTTTAACTACTTTGGAATCTAATTCGCTCTTCAGACAATTCGTAAGTATTGTTTTGTACAGATACAAATTAGCTCAAAACAGGACAGGCGAAGTGCTGCTACAAAAATGATTTACTTCCACAAGACGTAATTGTTCATTCATTAAAATTTGTGTTCGTGTTTTACAATTCACCTTTTTATCTAGTTCTCACAAAAGCATATCCAATTATAACAGACCGTCGGAGAAACAAGGATGAAAAAAAAAGGACGGATAAAATGTTAACTTTTGTAATTTTTGTTTGATCAGAAAACAATCACTGACAAATCTCCTCCAATTTGAATTCAAAGTTGTATTACCTTTACCAGAGCAAATACTAAATCACATAATAATAAAAACAATGTACAGTAGCAACACTAGACATTGTTCTACAACTCTTGTCCAAGTGTAGTTAGTGAGTGGCATTACCTGTGAATCGCATTTTAAAAGTCACTCTGTTATAGACGTCAAATTTGTTAGTGTATCTCCACTTTCTCTTTGTTTTCCATATACCCAATACCCTAAAGTCATACAAGTCAAACTTACGTAGGTACCTGTTTAATAATAAATACGGAAAACATACTTTTATTGACATTACATTTGCTCATTCTAGAGACGTTTTAGCTGCAAAACGTAAGAAACTGAAAGCGCAGGGGAAAGGTAAGAAACCAAACAAATCATCTGGTCCCATGTCAGGAGCCTGTAATTCAGTGGTTGTCTTTTGTTGCTTAACATATATTTGGTTTCCTTTCATTATTTTGTACATTAATCAGGTCGTTAGTTTTCTTGTTTGAATAGTTTTTCATTTGTCATTTTTTGTTTTGGCTTTTTCTATGCGGTATGGGTTTTGCTACTTGTTGAAGACCGTACGGTGACCTATAGCTGTTAACTTCTGTGGCGTTTGGTCTTTTGTGGGGAGTTGAGATTGAAAACTCACAGGTCGAAGACAAAACTGATAACGCCATGGCAAAATAAGGAAATATGAAGAAAAATCAAACAATTTCACAAAACACTACATAGGAAACTCAAGATTTAGCAACATTGAAGCTGTTAAATTAGACCTTGAGTTAAAAAAAAATCTATGTATCATGTAAATGATAGCAAAGCATGACGGCAGATGGCACCAACCATATCATGAATACCAATATATATATATTTGATTTTTTCAGTGCTTAATTTGTGCATGTAACTTCTATGTTTTTAATTTTGTCATTTGTCATCTCTATATAATGCACACCCCCTCATCCTACCGAATATAATGATGAAGACGATCAGTCTATTTTACATGCATCATAGAAGTTAGAAGAAACACTTCAGAAGATAGAAAATTTCGACGTAGAATTACTTCAAGATCCTAGAGTTGCTTTTGTACCCACAACATCGGCGATTTCTACTTCTACTTCTACATTTTCGAGTAGCTGTAACAGTATCGTCCATATCAACGCCCTCGATTATTGATAAATCCCTCAATCCCAAAAGTAAACAATATGGTTGAGTAATGCATATATATATATACTCCTGAGTGTCAATTAATTTCTATTCTGGAGATCATGAGTAAAAATCCAAAACTTAAACCTGCATGAGTTATTATTCTAACAGTAAATAAAGAGAAAAGTATGAACTAAGTTATTTGTAGATGTCATACTTAAGAATATTTTTTGTTTGTTGTAGTTTTTATGAATACTGCTCAAATACAGTTCTTTCATGAACCATTTAAGTGCAGTTGCAATATCCTTATAACAGTATATGATAAATTTGTTGTGATATGGTATTTTTTTCCATTGAAGACCCATATCAATATTCTGTTTAAAGGCTATCCGGTCAATACTGAAGATTCTGGCTGATAACACAACATAGAAAACTAAACACTAAGCAACACGAACCAAACTGAAAAACTGGGGTAGTTCTCGTGTGTTCTGGGAGAGGAAGAAGATCATGCTCATCATTGAAAAAATGAGTTCAGCTAAACTGTTAAACAAAACCCAAAAAGATTTAAAAACAGGGAAAGATGGAGAATCCAGTTAAAAGTTATAGCTTGGAGTTAGAGTGGCCGATCATCTCTTTATAAAAAAAAAAAATAAAACTAAATGAGTATTTGATAAATCAAAAAATATAATTTCACAATGAAAAGGAAACGATAATGAAAAAACAATCTTATCAATCGCATAAAGATCCCCATTTAAAGAGATATGCGATAAACCAAAGCAGGATTAACAAAACAAAATACATCTTTTAATGTTTAGTTTTGTTTAACGGAAATGACAGTTACAAAATTATATATATAACATAATAAATTAATATCCAGGTAAAATCTTTTGAATACCTTGAAGTCTATTACCTTATATTATTTTATTCATTTAAACATGTTAAACATGTAAAATAATCTACATTTTATAGGGGTCAGCAAATTCGTAAAGACTACATACTCATTAAAGTACATTTGTCATAAGTAAGAAACATATACAAAAACAAGATAATAAGATTGCTATGCACAATGCAGTCATGAAAGCACGCTGATTGGTGCATTTTTCGCTTTTTTTTTCAAAGGAGTGCAGAATATCACGACCATGTGCAACGCAAAAATATAAGTACATGTGTATTGACTGGTAAGACCAAAAGTGTTCATTATAAATGTCGTTTGATAGTAGTATGCATCATTTGAAATCAAAGTATACCTAATAAATTGTTAGTAGGTAGACAAGGAATATTGAAGATACACATACATGTATATTAAAAACACTTGAAACAAGGCTATATATCATTGAGACACCGTGCTTTCCACCCTTTCACAGTATCACATTTTTATGTTCTATAAACATGATAAACCAGTTTATCCTAATTCAGTATTTTATTTATTTAAAGTTTTATAGCTAGAACGTAACGTAACTAGAAAATATGATATTCCCATACGTTGGATATAAAACTAAAAGGATCCTGCTTAACAAACCTGCCATGAAATATTTTATGCATGCATATTTTTAGACGTATTTATCTAAGTTAGTCGTCAAATATGTCATAAAAACAATGTGAGTAATGGCATTAATGTACATATTAAGACTATCCCATGAACCCATTCAAGATGTAAAAGAACTACTGGTTAGGTAACTGAATAAATTTCTATCTTGGAGATGCATCCTCATAGATTACATTTTATAAATCCCTTTCGAAAATGGTCAAAAAGTATACTATCGGATAAATTCATCAGCAATGTTAATTTCTACCTCAGACAAAAGTATCTTGAAATTGTAAATGCAGTTTTTTAAAGAAGTAGGACGTATACAACTTTTACGTTCAGAATGTTTGAAACTCTCCTTTAAACCTTTTTTGAAAATCTGTATACGTATTACTCGGCCTTCAAATTATACGTTTGATATATTACATTGACAAATGTGCCCAGCTGTTTAACATAATGTGATTGTAAGTGCAAAACACAGTTCGACCTAAAATTCGCGTATCGAGTTCAGCTTCGAGATTAAATTTGAAATCAGACTTCAAGTAACAATTCGAATTACATATACATGTTATATTTTTCCGAATTACATAGCTGTGTTGTGGTTTGTATCTGGTGATTGTGGTTGTTTTTTTTGCCCTTTCTTTTTTAGCCATGGCGGCGTCAGTGTATTTTTGACTTATAAGTTTGAATGTGTCTTTTGTTTCTTTTGTCTTTCTGTTATATTTGTGTTTAAACATTGTTAAAGTGTATAATGCATTTCCTAAATAATCATTAACGTTCACTCTATACAATGCGCTATTTCAAAATCAAACAATAACGACACGTTATTTTCAGAAAGAAATACAAACAATTAAAAACATATAGTTCGTTCGTTACAATCTGGTATGCAAACGTTTATTTTTATTTTGATAAACTTAACAACGCATTGGCCTTTGGTCAAAATATACATTTTGGTAAGGGTATTGTATGTTAGTTTTACGATTAACTTATGACAACATGCCCGACAATCAATGGTTAAACACTCATCTTAACGTATATGAAATGCTCATTTTTCATGATAACAAATTACACAAACTAAACAATCCTTAGTTGTAATTCTGCCATGTAGAGACATATTTCAAATTATGTATTTAGTGTTTAGGAAATGATGTATTTAACAATAAATACTTCATCCTCATTTTCTATTTTGTTCCAGCACGAATCATTTAAACATGGATTAATAATTTCCGATATAAATTGGGTTTTTTGATAATTTAATAACGGAAATAATATTCTATTGGATAGGTTGAAAATTGTTTTATGAATTTTATTTGTACATCCTTGAATAACAAATCAGGAAGATAAAGTACACAACATAGCATCAAGCATTTCTTTATTGTTTATTTCGTTGTCATAAGCATTATATGGATATCCAATATTATGTTATCTATTGTTGTATGTAATTATTTAAGTACTGTAGTCTGAAAACAAACAGCATTCAAATCGGGTAAGTGATTATAAAAGTAAACTGTTGGAATTGAGTTTGTATGAAACAATGTTTCAAGAAGAAACTATCAGTTTTGGTAGATAAAATGAATAACATATACGAAAAACGTATTGGCTCCAATACCGTGATGATAGTTTAATTCTAAGAGGAAAGTCCATAAAGCTCGACACAATCAAGCGCTTGACAATATCAACCAGTGGACCGAATTGAAAACAACTGCTATATGCCTGCTTCGGTACTGGTATTTCCCAAATCAACTGATGGGTTAAACATAGTTCTGGGGTTAACTAATCCTGCCTTTTGTATGAAAATGTGTTGGTTCTATTGAAACTAGAAATAATTGCTTAGTGTCATAACAATTAGACTCCAGCCGCCAAACTATGTTAGTATACATCAGAGACAAACAACATAAAAACAAATCTGACTATGGCACCAACACAAAAAAAAGAAGGTTAAGTTGATAGTCCTTAACAAATATGACATACACACTTTCCCGAAAAAAAAAGCGCAAATCAAGTACAATATAAATAGAAGTATATCCACGAAAAAACAAAAATATAGAAACCTTATGCGTCCGAATCATACATCTAGAAATTGACAATGAGGGTCGGTTGAAAACAAAACTTTACGACAAAAGAGATGATTTCAGCTTCCCAATTGTGAACTTTCCATTTCTATGTAGCAACATTCCAGAAGCGCCTGCATACGGAGTATATATCTCCCAATTGATACGATATTCCCGGGCTTGTGTTTCCTATCATGATTTCCTTGATAGAGGATTGCTGCTCACAAGGAAGCTATAAAACCAAGAGTTCCAAATGGTGAAGTTGAAATCATCCCTTCGTAAATTTTACGGACGCCATCACGTGTTGGTTGACCGTTATGGAATAACCGTTTCACAGATGATATCGGATATGTTCCTTATGTCGTAACTACAATACCCTTCCCTTTTCACGAATGTGACTTACCGAATTAGACTATTTACCGGATTTGTAATAACATAAGCAACACGACGGGTGCCACATGTGGAGCAGGATCTGCTTATTCTTCCGGAGCACCTGAGATCACCCCCAGTTTTTGGTGGGGTTCGTGTTGTTTAGTCTTTAGTTTTCTATGTTGTGTCATCTGTACTATCATTTGTCTGTTTGTCTTTTTATTTTTGGCCATGGCGTTGTCAGTTTGTTTTCGATCTATGAGTTTGACTGTCCCTCTGGTATCTTTTGTCCCTCTTTTATACACCTTAATCCACCAACATCACGAACACCCTAAACCAATATCCTATCTCTTCAATATATAATTTCATTACATTACAGGAATGAATTTGATCAGCTGTATTTTGAAGTTGCTAGTAATATGTGTACTTCCTTTGAGAGGTAAGTTCTACTGAGTGAAAATACTGTAATTAAACTAGGTAACACATTCGTACTATCAACTAACATCTGCGGTCGGTCATATATCAGTGACAATAATATGTATGAACAGTTGAAAATATAAAAATACTCTACAATTCGTTTTTGTACTATACGATTTAGATTTGCCTAGAAAATCAAAGTTATTCAGAAATGTAATCCCAAATGTTGCAAATAAAATATGGTCATATTATCATTAATGGAATGTATTCTTTAAAGGAAATAAATATCTCACAAATAGTTAAGAAAAAAGTAAAAATAGCAAAAATACCGAACTCCGAGGAAAATTCAACAGAAAGTCTATAATGAAATGGCAAAATTAGAAGCTAAAAACACTTTAAATGAATGGATAACAACTGCTCGAAATCTGATTTAATACAGGCACAACACTATAGCAGTTTTTAGAATCAGTACATTACAGTTGTTATTCATTCGAACATTTAACAATGATAAGTGTGGCGATAGATAAATATAGTTTATTTCTTTATAAAAATGTATAGAGAGAAAGATAATTTCAAGTCAATTTCAAAAATATAAGTATATATATATATATATACAATTCCTGAATTCAAAACTGAGAAACTCTTATATTGATATTAACGAATATACCACAAATCTAGCTTCCACCATCAATACAATCGCCATCATGAAATAGCAAAGAAAGCTAAAAGTAAAGCTTTATACCTTCAATCAAACAGGCCTTTTTAAAGCAGTGACTAACATGAATTTAGTATGGAAATGTGTTATCACCTATCAATTCCGGTACTTTTTAATCTTTGTACACTTGCTTACTTTCTTTTCACGTTCTACATAGGTTTAACATTACCTGCTAGTAATAAATAAAGGCAACAGTAGTATACCGCTGTTCGAAATTCATAAATCGATTGAGAAAAAAACAAATCCGGGTTACAAACTAAATCTGAGAGAAACACATCAAATATAAGAGGAGAACTAAGACACAACAGAAACACTAAAATGCAACACACACAGAAACGAACTATAAGATAACAATAGCCATTTTCCTGACTTGGTACAGGACATTTTAAGAAAAAATGATGGATTGAACCTGGTTTTGTGGTTTTAATAAAGCATTTGGTAATTCGTTACATATCGTTTGTGTTTTCAAAAGATATAACTGATTCTAATTAATTAGGTTTGCCTTCAACATCTTCAAAGATAAAAGTACGGGGAACAGACATAAAAAACAGACAGAAAGGATTGCTGGATATTCAGTGTAAGTACATCATATAGAGATTAACTTTTTAACGTTGATAACAATCAAAGATTTGAAACGGTTTAAGAATTTTTTCCCATACACATCGACATTTTTGTTTTCATAATATGCAAAATGTGTCCATTGTAATACATTTTATGTCGTTAACTATATTTTACATATTTGTAAATCCTTTATTAACCGCAAATTATCTGATTCATTTCAAAGAGTAAAATCACAAAAATACCGAAGTCCTTAATCAAATGGCAAAAACAAAAGATCAAAAACATCAAATGAATGAATAACAACTGGCATATTCCTTACTTGGTACAGGCATTTTCGTATGTAGAAAATGGTGGATTAAATCTGGTTTTATTGCTAGCTTAACCTCTCACTTGTATGACAAAGCGATTTTGTTCAATCAATCAAAAACGTTTGATCATTAGTAAATATCCTCAACAATGTTTATTCTATAAATTAGAAAATGATGGCTATACTTTATATAGAAACAAGGAGATGTGGTATGTGTGTTAATGAAACAGCTCTCCATCCAAGTCACGATGTGTAAAAAGTTAACAATATAGGTTAAAGTACGGCCTTCAACATGGAGGCTTTGCTTGCACCGAAAAGCATGCTAAACAAAAAAAAAACAAAAAAAAAACACGTCAAATAGACAAATATGAGAGTTTGAACAGAAAAGTTAAAAAAAAAAAAAAAAAAAAACAATAGATGCCAATTATTTTAATTAAACATGTTAAAAACTTCAATACAACCAACTAACATATCGAGCGTCACTGATGCATTTTTTGTATACGAAACCCGTATCTAGCTTTCACATACTGTTATCTATAATGTGTTTATTTACAACCACTTGGTCGATGCCACTGCTGGTCGATCTTTCTTCCCGATGGTATCACCAGCTCAATAGTTATTACTTTTGTGTTGAAAATAATTATCATTAATGTATTCATTATAATTGTAAATTAACAGTTAATAAAACTTTTATTTTTCGAAATACGAATGTTTGTCTACCACCGAAATAGAAAACCTTAGCAATGTTTGATTTTCAATGCTATTAAACTTCAAACTTTATTTTGCCCATCTGTCTTTTTTAATTCGATGGTCACTGAGTCTTATGCAGACTTAACCTGCATCTGGTGTGCAAAATTTTAAATCTAATTTCTATGGTGCATTTATCTACTGCAACTTTGGATTTGTTATTATTCATTTTGTTGTGGATTTCGTGTGATTGGTAGACCACAAACATTGATATCCATAAGAAAAATGAAGCCACAGTATATACATGCTATAAACATGCGAAAAATTATAATCAGAACCTTCGAGTTAGCTGATCCGTAAACACGTCTTATGTTGCAATTGGTGGTAAGCCTAGGTCAAAAGTATAAAAAGAACATCCATAAGAGGGTTTTTGTCTGGCTGTTGTATAGAAAGTACGATAATTTTAAATTCTTAAAGACTGGAAAAAGCACAGGAAAACCAATGATTTTGAGTATCGATCCATTACACAAAGTCAGTACATGCAAAATCAATAACAAACAAAGATGCTGTTCTTCATTTCAAAGTCACATCGAAGTCATAATCACGGACCAAATAAAACTTTCATCTCACTGCACGTATAAAACGGACCCTACCACCGGTATGAGCAAAATTCTTTGCAAAATGAATATTGTTGTTTAGGACTTGAAAGCAACCACCTATAATACGAAAATATACCTGTTAAAACATACGAATATGAAAATAAGAAGATGTGGTAGGATTGTTAATGTGACAACTTTTTAAAAGGGACCAAAATGTCATATAAATTAACAAATATACAGAGTCACCGTCCGGTCTTCAGCGATATGCAAAACCCATACCGAATAGTCAGCTTATTATCAGTACTTTCAAAATTAACCCACATTAAAATAATGCCCTGCCTTTTATTTACTTGTATGTATATTTGCTGACTGTGTTCTCTTTTTAATATATTTTGATATTATAACTGAGTGTGGACATTATGTAAGCACAACAGAAGACGCTTACACTTTCGACGTAGCCGTTCAAGCGATTCATCAAATTTGGATTTTTTATAAAATTGAGAATGGAAATGGGGAATGTGTCAAAGAGACAACAACCCGACCATAGAACAGACAACAGCAGAAGGTCACCAACAGGTCTTCAATGCAGCGAGAAATTCCCGCACCCGGAGGCGTCCTTCAGCTGGCCCCTAAACAAATATATATACTAGTTCAGTGATAATGAACGCCATACTAAACTCCAAATTGTACACAAGAAACTAAAATTAAAAATAATACAAGACTAACAGGCTAGAGGCTCCTGACTTGGGACAGGCGCAATGTTTATTTGTATCTCCAAAAGGGATACATACATGTAAGATTTGAATCACGGTAAACCACTGTAGCCTCTTATTCATATATAAAGGACACAATTTTGATTGGCTTTGATCTTATTTATTTATATTGATTAATGAAAAAACTATATAATCTTTGGAATCTAAAGAGAAATAAAAAGTTTTCTGACTCCATTAAATTTCGATGTAAGCAATTATCATTCATATTCGAAATAAAGTATAAAAAATACAGAACTCCAAATAAAACATGAATTCTGCCTAATGAATATCTGAAACAGTGATTCGTATTTTGTTCTACAGATGCCCCAGTTGTTAAAATAAGAAATAAAGTAACTAAGAAAGGATTAGAACTAATATGTAATCCTAGAGGAAATCCTGACAATTATACTTTCGCCGATTGGGAGCACTGGTCTGAATTCAATGAACATATTCGAAATGTTCAAGGGACATCTGACGGTAAATTGACCTTTCTGATATCCAACAATAACAACAGCTTACATGAAAATGACGGCATTTACAAATGCAAAACAACAAACGGTATCAATGGTGCAAACGGAAGATTATACCAGAAAGGATCAGTTCGCATAACCAATAAAGGTGATACATTCACATTTTGTCTTTATATGTACGGACTGTATTCATATTAAAGTGCATGTTCTAATGTTTGAAAGTTGATTAGAAATGCCCTTCTAATTATATCTTATAAGCTATCAGCATGCATCTGTTTAAATGATTCAATTAAAAAAAACTGAACCACGATATTTTGCATTAAATTAACATGATGAAAAAATTGATCAATTTCCCTTTTGCATGGAAACACTCTTTCGTGCTGTTCTCCATTCTTACAATCACAGGAAAAACTTAAATGCTAAATCGTAAAGCTTAAGTTAAAAGGTATTTATTGTCTCTGGCCGAAACTTTTTCATTGATAAGCGTTCCAAAAGACAAGAAAACGTTGTAATGGATATATCAATTCAACCAGATAAAATGTTTATTTGAAATATGAATACTGTTGGAGCTGTGATTTATTACTTTAATGTAACAATTCATAATTCCAAAAAGATATAAAAAAAAATGATCATCAATAATCTATATTAACTTGAATATTGTGTAAATGATATTATCGACATATTTGTCAAGTTGGTTTTGTTCCTAATCCCTAATATTGTGTTAATAGATCATGAACAGAACCTGAAAGTCGGAACATTCGGCAATTACGTCACGTATCAGCGAGGCAACGTCACGCGTTTCTGTTCATCTGCGACTTCATTCGTAAAAGTCAGCATCAAAACCAAAATGTCATTACTCTATATATATATTTCATTTAAGCTCCACCGATATTTGTGAATGCAAATAAACCAATTCAATATGGTCGATACGGTCAGAAGATTAAGTTGAAGGTGCAATTGTACAATAAGTATGGCACGATACAAACAACTATATCAAAACTAAACGAGCCTTTGAATATACATGGAAGACAGGAGAGGATTCTAACACACGACATGTTCCATGGTGTAGATGTAACAGTTTCTGGTATAAAGATAACATTCCGACTGACACTGGCTAAAATAGAAGATTTTACAGATTATACAATAAAGGCTTGTAACAACATCACGTGTAATGTTTTTACGGTGAAGGTAACATCAAATTGTAAGTTGGCAATCAAATTTACGATAAAAATCTTAATCAATTTTAAGAATTGTTTATAATTATGTGATCGCTGACAGCACCAACATAAAGTCTTTGGGTAACAATGGACTTTTTCGGCATCCTACAGACATTTCCATCCATTTTGACTTACGGCAAAGTTCTTTACTTTATTAATATTGATAATAATAACAGTAGTTACAATACATTTTCCAACTGCTGGTATTATATCATATCGATATTAAACAAATCAAGCGATAACATTTTACCTTCAAGATACAGTTTGTTTAAATGGCACGAATACCTTATCTACAAAGTAGTCTTATGAAAGAGGCGCGAAAGATACCAGAGAGACATTCACACTCATAAATCGAAAATAAACTGACAACGCCATGGCAAAAAAAGAAAAGACAAACAGACAAACAATAGAAGACAAAACACAACATAGAAAACTAATGACTAAGCAACACGAATCCCTGTAAGAATTTTCATCTGTTTTCATCAGACGACATCGTTACGTTATCAAACATTTCCATTAGTAAAAATCAAACAACACTTGTCAAATTATATATTCAAGGGTTTCAGATGTAAACATTCTGATTGTCCTTCTGGTTTTTGGTTTCATTGTTATATTCGGTCTTAAGTTTTCTATTACGTGTTTGTTTTCTGTATTTGTCTTTGGGTTTTTGTTTTTGTTTTTATATAATGAAACTATGATTGACAGCTTGGTAGCGATATTAATTGGACTAAACTGGTAACGTCTCAAACTGATACTTTAAAATAGTTGGGTTTTTTTCCTCAAAATTCCTTAGTAACTTAAGTTAATTTTTCTTCAATTAGGTCGTCCCGAGCCTCCACCATATGTGTCAGTAATTCCATATGCTAGATATCTGGAAGTAGTGTGGGATCCTGGATTTGACGGGGGTTATCTGCAGACATTTTTCGTAGAATATCAACAAGAATCCGAAAATATATGGCAACGATCTGGACCAGTTGTTGATAACAGACAGGTTAAGATGTTAACATTCATAAATGAATTGAATCCAAAAACTCGATATCATATTCGGGTATTGTCCAAAAATGAGATTGGAGATAGCAATCAGACGGCTGTGACTTCTGTGATGACTTTAGGTGAGTAATCATGAAATATTGAGTAGCAAAATAATACTAATCATCATTGATCCCATGTTTCAGTGTAATACACTGTTTCTGAGTAGATTTTATAAATGGTGATTTGTGTATGTGAAGGTTACTTGAGTCTTTTTACGTTCTGTCATTTGTGTTTGATTTACAGTTTAAAGTCGAATTTTCTTTATTTCAAATACGGTTTGAAAAGATATGAGTGATGTCATCGCTGTAAACCGTCCTCACATTAAGAAAACTTTAAGTTATTGTACAAAGCTAAAAATGTTTTGTCAACGATTGTTTATAAAAACGGGTTCGAATTTACTTGTTGTCCTGTTTGTTGTTATCAGCACTTTCCCAATTTCCCAATTATGTCCTTTCAAATATTTTTACTTTCAACATCACTGAAGAGACCAATTGCCGAAATGCGTTTCTGATGCTGTATTATTGGTTTTGTTAATTTTATTACTGCAACTGGGTTCATACCTCTGTTGGTGGACGGTTAGTCCCCAGAGTATCAACAAACCAGTAGTCATTAATTCGGTACTTGAATGCATACAAATGCTGATATCTTTTAATAAAAATATAGTGTTAAAAAATTTTAAATAATTTTTATTTCAGGATTGTTTCTCTCACATGCAGAGCTCTAAATTTTTGCGCTTAAAAGATTTATAGTTTTTTTACTTTCAAATACGTTGGCCTGGAGCATACAGTTATTGTCGAAATGCGGATCTGGAGCTGTAAAATTTCGCGTATATCGATAATACTAATATACTCGTTTTCGGCGTTGTTTTCCAAAATAGTATTGCGTGTATGTATAGGTTATCTGGATCCAGCCCCCCCCCCCCCCCCCCCCAAAAAAAAAAAAAATTGGCATGGGAAAAAATGGCTTCAGGACACCGTCACGAAACTGTTCCTGTAATAGAATGCATGCTAAAATATTGCTTATTAAAATACATAATATAATTATATTTATTTCATTTGTTAAATGTGAAGAGAGTTTGACTCAACATTGTCAATTGTCTAACTGTTAAATACTGCATCAGTGGAAAATCTATTGTTCGAAGACAAAACAAAATTCACTCTTAGTCGAGAAATCAATAACAATACAATGCCTGTGATGATAATGATTGAAAGTTGTTTCCAAACACCAATTGTACAAGAAATGATTTGATAAATCAGTTTATTAAAACTACACATGCAAATACATTATGCTTTATGTTCATTATCTATCGATATCATTGCTTTAAAAGCTTCTGAAACTAAAATCTCAAGCATATTAATTTTGCTGAATATTCATAGAAATGTTGGACGAAATCATGTACATATAGAATTTAAAGATCATTTGTGTATTCCAAAGAGTCATCAGGGTATTCCACAAAGTCCTTAGCATGTTACAGTTTCCAAAATATAACAGTTTTTTACATCTACGTTTTCGAGTACAGCGGTCTGTTCACGTTAACATTGAAATGGCTTCCGTTTTTCGTCTCTTAGCGATTTTGTTCAAACACGTTTTATCTTGTTACGCCACTCTGCCAGATATACACGGCTTATGTGCATCAGTATCTGCCGCCTTTTGTCCACTTATAAATGGAAAAAGTTCTATTTTTTGAATGACACAGATAGCGTTATTCTTGTATTGTATTTCGTGAATAAATTGATTTTAATACATGTATTTGCAGTCTTCTGGATCTATTCACATTCAATGTTTACATCGGCATAAGGTCAGATTTAATTTGCTTAGTAACTTAATTGCAAAAGTGCCAATCTTTGCTGCATATCACTCGGTATGAAACCGAATTGTTGTGATTAGAATTACGTAGATAAGATAATGAAGGCCTGGTCACGTGGTCGAATACATAAATTAGTGATATCACAGTGGCATTTGTCACATTATGGAATAATCTTTATTATGAATAACAAATGCAATAACCAAAATCTTATTTAGTTTCCCATTTAGTCTTTACAACAAATTATAAAACAAATGAACAAAAATACTTATTGGTCTTTACACTGAATAGTACAATCAAGTGTTTAGCTACAATTCTTAAGTATGTTATTTTCATCCACAGCCGATCGCCCAGAACCTCCTTCAAATGTGTCAGTAACTCCGTATGAAAGACATCTAGTAGTATCATGGAGCCCTGGATATAACGGAGGAGAACCTCAGGCGTTTTTCATAGAATATCGCCAAGAAACCGATGAAATATGGAGACGGTCTGGGCCTATTACTGATTACAAGCAGGCTAGAATGTCGTATACCCTGTACAACAAGAGTCCAAAAACTAGTTATTTTGTTCGGCTGTTGTGCAAAAGTACTATAGGTGAAAGCAAGACCTTTATCACTTCTGTTATGACTTTAGGTGAGTTATTATTCAATATTGGATGTATCGAGTATCCGATTATCGCTCGGTAGTACCAAGTATCGAATACTAAAACGATACTCGACTAATCGATTTACTGTTAGAATACAGTTGTCTTCTTAATACAAAATTGGTCTTCTTGAGATTCTCTTTCAAAAAATTAAATAGGCATCACTGATTAATCATACTAGCAGATAAAATACATTTTGTGTCGAATACTTGTGCTAAATTTCTGTTTAAAATGCCTCCGAAAATATGTGGGCTATACCTAGGATACCACTTTAAATAAACATGTCTCAGCCATTCCGTCAAATCGGTTCCGTCCGAGCATATATTTTCGTCTGCAAGACTGTTAGTTACAAAGTTGCAAACCAAATGTCTCCAATAATAGTTAACAAGAATATATTTCCAAATAAAAAAAACAAAAAAGAAATCGTTACATCCTCTGGTGACTCTCGGTGAATAGTTAAACTTATAAGCCTTACGTCTTTTTAAACATTAAATGTGTTCTCTTAACCATCATCAGATACCATTGTTTGATATTGTTTTAGATTAACATGATTATATTGATAAGGTTATTGTTTTTTTTACATAATTAGTACTTGTAGGTAATGAACTATTAAATATGGTGTGTCCTTGTCCTAGATACTTATGTAGATGTTTTTTGTCCATTGAACAACAAACCACAGAATGTAAAATACGTATTTTTGTGTTTCTGTGTTGTAGATATATTCATGAGAGACTACTCGAGTATCGCTCGATTATACCAACGAGTACTCGATTAGTAATTGTTCACCGAGATGAAATCCTTAATTATACTCATCATTGTTACCATGATTTCGTGTTATACAAAGTTTTCGGCGTTGTTTTCTAAAATAGTACTGCGTGCGTGTAAAAGTTATCTGGATCAAGTCCCCCCCCCCCCCCCCCCCCCCCCCAAAAAAAAAGTTAGCATGGGGAAAAATGGCTTCAGGACACCGTCACGAAACTGTTCCTGTAATAGAATGCATGCTAAAATATTGCTTATTAATATGCTTAATATATTTATTTCATTTGTAAAATGTTAAGAGAGTTTGACTCAACGTTGTCAATTGTCTAACTGTTAAATACTGTATCAGTGGAAAATCTATTGATCGAAGACAAAAGAAAACTCACTCTTATTCGAAAAAGTCGAGAAAATCAATAACAATACAATGCCTGTGATGATAATGATTGTAAGTTGTTTCCAAACACCAATTGTACAAGAAATGATTTGATAAATCAGTTTATTAAAACTATACATGCAAATACATTATGCTTTATGTTCATTATATATCGATATCATTGCTTTAAAAGCTTCTGAAACGAATATCTGAAGCATATTAATCTTTGCTGACTATTCATTTGTGTATTCTAAAAAGTCATCAGGGTATTCCACAAAGTCCTTAGCATGTTACAGTTTCCAAAATATAACAGTTTTTCACATCTACGTTTTCGAGTACAGCGGTCTGCTCACGTTAACATTCAAATGGCTTCCGTTTTTCGTCTCTTAGCGATTTTGTTCAAACACGTTTTATCTTGTTACTCAACGTTGCCAGATATACACGGCTTATGTGCATCAGTAGCTGCCGCATTTTGTCCACTTATGAATGAAAAAAGTTCCATTTTTTAAATGGCCTTATTCTTGTATTGTATTGTCGTGAATAAATTGATTTTAATATATGTATTTGCAGTCTTCTGGATCTATTCACATTCAATGTTTACATCGGCATAAGGTCAGATTTAATTTGCTTAGTAATTTAATTGCAAAAGTGCCAATCTTTGCTGCATACTATCGATTCCATTGAATTGATTCCCTGAATTTCTATGATCTAGCTGCATATATATACAAATAATTAGCATGTTCGAGAATAGAGTACAGCCAGCAGAAAAGAAATTGAAGTTAGTACTCCAGGAATTTATTTGCATAGCAACATTTAAACCAATTTTACATCAAGTTTCCTTTAGCCTGCTGTACTGGTCGTTTGCTAAGTGCTACACAGAGGAACAAATGATCAGTATGCTGGAGTTTCTTATGAGCAACATATTTGTTGAATTTTGATGTAGATTATTCAAACAAATTGTCGGTATTCCTATGGGGAACGAACTGTGCGCCTCTCCTTGCCGACCTCTTCTTATTTTCATATGAGTCGGAGTTCCTTCAGACAATTGTCAAAAACAAGAAGATCAAAGAAGCCAGATCATTTAATTTCACATTCAGATATATTGACGATGTTCTTTCCATTAGCAATCCAAACTTTTCTGATTGGGTTCCATTAATATATCCTCAAAAACTAGAAATTAAAGAAACAACAGACACAGCTTCCTCATCCTCATTTTTAGTCTTATACCTCGAATTTGACAAACGCGGTCATCTCAGTACCAGAATCTATTACAATCGAGACGAGTTTAATTTTGAAATTATCATTTCCCCCACCTCAGTAGCAATATACCAACTTCACCTGCATATGGGATATACGTTTCACAACTCATTCGGTATTCAAGATCTTGCAGCTGCTACTCAGACTTTGTAAAACGTCACCAGTGTCTGAGCAGAAAGTTGATAGACCAGGGGTATGTCGAAGAACGTCTCGTCCTTTTTCGTAAAAAAAAAAGTTCATCGGA